ATAATAAATTGTCTCCTTACATATATTAAGCGGCGATAATTAAAAGACGGCGTGAGCTAGAAATAAAGAGGAGGGGTGCAAGGGGGGTGGGGGTAGGAAAAATGAGATGGCTGAAATTAGTGTGATGTGGAGTATGCCATGTGTGTGTGACCCTTGACGACACAGGGGCACAGATTGTCCCAATAGTAATGCCTACGACCGGCTAGAAAATCTTGCCATCGAGTTCCACAAAATTATGGTCAACCAAAAACGGAATCATTTTCAAAATTTCGTCTTGAGTATATTTCATTTTTGCTTTAGATGTGCTTTTCACAAAATTTGGTTTCATTTTAAATTCCAAGCGTCTCATTCTCTTTCAGATGATGGACGTGATAGAGTTGAGCCTCTCTGAAAGTGACCTCCAATACAGTACGCTCTTGGTTTGCCCATTATCTAGCGTAGTCTTCCACAAAATTTCTCAGTATCTGTAATTTACATCCCAGTTGACAGTACGAGTCTCTGGATACTAAGGAGGTCTATTCATGAAATACTCTCGTAGCTTTGCGTCATGGATAATATTTAGATCGCCAGTTACTACAATGTCGTGTCCGGAAGTAACATGGAGATGTGCAGCAAGAACATGCTGAAGCAGGGGCTGCTTTAAGGGCATCTGTTGTAGTGTTTGCTTGTAGTAGAAAAACTTGGAAGCAATGGGTGTGGAGTAACTGTAAGAAACTATTGGAGTACTTTTGTATCTGAAGTACGGTGGTATGTTAGTATTGGCGGACTTTTGTATCTGAAGTACGGTGGTATGTTAGTAATGACGGACTTTTGTATCTGAAGTACGGTGGTATGTTAGTAATGACGGACTTTTGTATCTGAAGTACGGTGGTATGTTAGTATTGACGGACTTTTGTATCTGAAGTACGGTGGTATGTTAGTAATGACGGACTTTTGTATCTGAAGTACGGTGGTATGTTAGTATTGACGGACTTTTGTATCTGAAGTACGGTGGTATGTTAGTATTGACGGACTTTTGTATCTGAAGTACGGTGGTATGTTAGTAATGACGGACTTTTGTATCTGAAGTACGGTGGTATGTTAGTATTGACGGACTTTTGTATCTGAAGTACGGTGGTATGTTAGTATTGACGGACTTTTGTATCTGAAGTACGGTGGTATGTTAGTAATGACGGACTTTTGTATCTGAAGTACGGTGGTATGTTAGTATTGACGGACTTTTGTATCTGAAGTACGGTGGTATGTTAGTATTGACGGACTTTTGTATCTGAAGTACGGTGGTATGTTAGTAATGACGGACTTTTGTATCTGAAGTACGGTGGTATGTTAGTATTGACGGACTTTTGTATCTGAAGTACGGTGGTATGTTAGTATTGACGGACTTTTGTATCTGAAGTACGGTGGTATGTTAGTAATGACGGACTTTTGTATCTGAAGTACGGTGGTATGTTAGTATTGACGGACTTTTGTATCTGAAGTACGGTGGTATGTTAGTATTGACGGACTTTTGTATCTGAAGTACGGTGGTATGTTAGTAATGACGGACTTTTGTATCTGAAGTACGGTGGTATGTTAGTATTGACGGACTTTTGTATCTGAAGTACGGTGGTATGTTAGTATTGACGGACTTTTGTATCTGAAGTACGGTGGTATGTTAGTATTGACGGACTTTTGTATCTGAAGTACGGTGGTATGTTAGTATTGACGGACTTTTGTATCTGAAGTACGGTGGTATGTTAGTAATGACGGACTTTTGTATCTGAAGTACGGTGGTATGTTAGTATTGACGGACTTTTGTAACTGAAGTACGGTGGTATGTTAGTATTGACGGACTTTTGATGTCGGATATTACTTATGTTAATGGCATCTTGTCCCCTTGGCTTAACTATAAGCTTATTTAAAGCTAATTTCCAATGGAGAAACCCAATGTCAATTGGTACCGACTAAATACTGGTTAAATCCTGCAAATATCGTGAAGAAAACAGGGACCTATAGACGTTTATTTCTGTTAGCCATTGACATTAAGCAAACAACAAAGAACATGAAACAGGAATACGATGGAAATTTACCACCAAATTAGAAGACCTTGACTTCGCAGATGATCTTGCACTGTTCTCTTCCAAATTCCAACATATACAGCTGAAAACAAACAAACTTCAAGAAAATGCCAGCAAGATAGGATTAAAGGTAAATACTTCCAAGACTAAAGTAATGCGGATGAACACCACTAATAAAAACCCAGTGAAGTTGAATGAAAAAGACCTAGAAGATGTTGATACCTTTACTTACCTAGGGGGAATAGTAACAACAAAAGGTGGCTGTGACAATGATATAGACAACAGGTTCAAGAAAGCGAAAGGCCAATTCAGCAGGTTAAGAAAAATATGTAGATCATCAGTACTGTCATTCAAAACAAAGGTCAGGCTATTTTATCAGTTCTACTGTATGGATGTGAAACCTGGAAAACAACAGAACAAGACAAAAAGAAATTGGCCAAACACCATATCAAATGAAAACCTTCACATCAGAGCTGGAACAAAGAAACTTAGTGATGATATTATGGAACGTCGTTGGAGATGGATTGGTCATGTACTAAGAATGGACACCAACAGCATATGTTCTGTGGCACTGACATGGAAATCAGAGGGAAAAAGAAAGATAGGACGTCCCAAAACCACCTGGAGACGGACTGTTGAGACAGAAAGAACAACACTTGGATGGAACAGCTGGGCTACAGTAAGGACAACAGCTAAAGACCGTGTCAAATGGAAAGAATGTACCAGGGCCTTAAATGCCGACCGACATGAAGAGGATAGGTGTGATGTGTGTATAGACGTTTATAGCGAAAAGTATATTTAACTTTAAATGACACCCAAAGAAACCATTTATTATAACAATTGGTCAAAGTTGGAAACTCAAAGAAACTATTGAACACAAGATCGGGCATTGTCAAGGCACATCAAGAAGGAATGGGGACGGAAGGACAGAATTTTGAAACGTACTTTATGAGTGGTAGATTGATAGGCAAAAGAAGCCGATTGAAGACAATTAAACCAGCAGTGTTTACATGCTGACCTGGGAACTAGAGTTTAGACTCCACCTGCATTATAAATGGGAAGATCATTCACAGAGAGGAAGGTAGAGAGATCAGGACCCAAGATATGTGGAACATGTCCGTCAAACCAACCGACCAAACACCGTCCACAGAACATACAATATGTACACTTGATTAGTCTACAACCAGCCAACAGGATGTGAAGTAAAGAATGCAGTATTCGTGAATCAAGTGACACAAACCTGACTAAGGCAAGCAAGGCACTGAAAATGCCAAATCTGCTCAACAAAACAGTATATATTTTAGACAAGAACGGGGAGGTTTTGTCGTGATAATTGGTGTACCGATCAAAATGAGATAACTTGTATTCGTAAAAGAACCCGGATATACCCTATTTTGAAATTGCCCGGTCTTACTCAAAAGGGTGTGCAACCTAAGACACGCTAGATAATTATTTTCATTATTCAATGAAACAATAATGATATATGTGATATGTATGTATTCACAGGTAAAATTACACCAAACCCTACGTTGAAATGTGGAATAGAAAAGATTCAGTAGTTTTCTAATCAATACACTTATAATGGGATATAATTGATTGAACTTTAAATACGAGGTATAAATCATTGAGCGTTTCTTAATCAGTACAAACCCACAATCTCTCCAAAAAATGGAGTAGATATATTACAAGTCGTTTTAAATAAATACAGCAATTGTCATTATGTTCACATCAACACAGATATTAGCTCGTTCCCGCTAACATTACTCGGTACATGTCCCGATCATGGCATCTCTATTTCGCGACTTACATTAACAGGTATTTAAATAAAAAAGGAATCGACTTGTGTAACTCAAATGAACCGTAACACCGATATATATATATGTATATATACAATTTGTTTATTTATCTACTGGGCGAGTCCGCGGATTGTTCTCGGATTACGTTTTCTGTGAACATTTCGCCAGAGATATAGATTTAAGTTGTGTAATCCTGTATTTCGCGAACAATGTAGACTCAATCTGATGCGCGAATTAAAATAAGAATTTTGACACATCATAGAGGACTTAATGTTCAACCGCTAAACTTTAATATAATGTAATAAATAAGGGGTGGTCGGGTGTCTCGGTGGATAGCACATTTGCTTTTAACCAAGGCGGCCGGGGTTCTATTCCCCGATTGGACGTGAAAAGGTATGGAGTCACCTGCCTGGTCTCATAGGTTTTCTCCAGGTACTCCGGTTTCCTCTCACAATAAGATCCACCCGCGCTTACATCCGGGCCAACAAGAGTGATTGATATAAGTTGTGAAAAGTTGTTTCATAATTGTTGTAAAATAAATAAAGTGTATATAATATCATGTGAGCAAACTAACTGATGTCCAAATATCTTCAATAATTAAGATTCATCAGTTGATGTCCAGTAGCATTTGAATAAAGCTAATTTAAGTAACCAGTTTTCGTTTAGATATTTCACTGTGTGTTCTTGAAAGTTGAATATAAGTCACTGAGAAATATAAAGAAATATAATGTCTCAGAAACTGCCGAGGTGCGTTTGATCCAGCTTTTTTCCACGGTGTAAATAACTTGGAGTATTTAAAAGAAGTAATAATTAATTTACTGTGATTTATGGTGTGAGCATAACAGCTTTGCGTATGGGCCATTGTCCTTGCAGTATATAGTAGGCCTACTTTGTATAAATAAAAAATTAAAGTGTGTATTTTATTTTTTCTAAAGTCCCAAATCTGGAGTAAGATCAATGCAAGGTGGTTTAAAACAAAAAGACCGAGTTAACTCCGGTCTAAACGTGTCGGTGTCGAGATCGTGTTCCTTGTTGTAGTATGAATGCGATCAATAATCCACGACCCACTAAAGAATGGAATGTCAACAAGCGCATTCCATGTGCTCACTCAACGGTGACGTAGATCATAATCAATCGTAGTGGTTTGTCCAATCACAGACAGGAATGCTCGAGGCTTCGGCAAGTTGTCGACATCCCTTCTGCCTGTGTCGGAAAACCCCCTTGTAACATACATGTGAAAGTATACACGCGCGGATTTCGTGTTGGAACGTTCAACAAGGAGCTTCCTAGGCATCGGATGAATATGGTGTCCCCGGTACATGTCTACGATGTGATGACAATCGTGTGAAATCTTTAGTGGACATGGCATTCTACAATCCACACTCGCCGCGCGAGCGACCGGTTCCACATAAACAAGTGTCGAGTCCAATGCAGAATGTAGAGCACCAGTATGCATTGCCGAATAGTCAACATGGACATAGCCCACACGGTCCCGGGGGTGCGCGCAATGGGTTCGGGTCTGCCAATGCACCCATGCCGCTTATGTCCCGGGGGTTTCGGGAGACTGACACACCCCACAGTCGCCACCACCGGGGTACCAGTGACTTTGACACCCGGCGGTCGGAGTGTTTGAGGAGGGGCGTTCTATACGAGGATCCGGACTTCCTTCCTCAGGATACTTCCGTGTATTACAGCAGAAATCCGCCCTATAGGATCGAGTGGAAACGTCCAGGGGTGTGTGTTATTAGTGTAGTGAATATGTAATGTCTACTAATGGTGTTGTCAGTATGTGCAAACAGGTGTCCGTGAACATTAAAACAAGAATGAATCAAAAACACTCGTGTAACGTACAGCATATATTTGCTGTATGTTCACGAAATGGTGTTTTCAATCAATTTTTAATGTCTGGCCACCTGTGATTATTATATACTTGTGTTAAAAGTCATTTCGTGTTCAAAAGTAATTATAAGCTGACGTTGAAAATAAATTACCATTTTAGATACTGAAAGGGGTTCTCAGGTGATTTTTTTTTATAGCTAGACTTGATGGGTTTCAAGATTTATGAACATTTTTGGAAGCATCTGAAAATAATTGCTTACCAAAATAAAGACTTGAGCTCTGAGGTCACAACAGACAAGATATTTTAATAACATGAAAAACTTGTAAACCACATTCAGCTCAGCTTTGTGTTTCCCATTAAAAAAATGAACAAAAATATATTGAAAGGCCAGTTTTTCCCATGAATGTAACATACAGTCTCCCTGATATCAGTGACTTTATTAGAATATGAAATGTTTGTTCCACCACGGAATTAGATTATCTAAGTCTGGATTCATAGGGGTAACTGTTTACTCACCCCAAGCCCCAAACTGGAATAAACTAGCTAAAGTCTATGGAAATATGTACATAATACATTGATGTTAAACTTTGTTGAAGTATGGAAACAAAGTACACATTTTTGTTTATTCTTACCTGGTATAAATGTTTAGATAATTCCGTGGATTTAGGAAGTAAATCTCACGACACTTGTATTCTATTCAGCAAGTAATAGCACTTTACATGACGTATTAAAGTGTTTTATAACTGTGGATGGTTAACGTTTGTCTTAAAATAAGCTAGGAGATACATAAAATGAAAAATTGAACCAATTAAATCTTAAAGTGTACTGGTAGTTCTACTGTAGTCTAGAGAGTATAATGATTATGTCCTATATAAGGAAATAAGAATATAGATCTACCACATAGTAACCTCTGTACTATTAGTCCTTTAATCCCTGCACATATTTTCTAGTTAAATGCACATTTATAAGATCACAAATACTTTGTGTAATATAAGTGTCTTTGTCTTCATCACATACAAAACATATTTTGATCAAAACAATACATTTATATACTGTATAACAACGTCCCTCAAACACATGTCATTACAGTCATGTGTAAAGTGCACGAAACTAGAGTTGCTTCCCTTGTATTTTAATAACTACTTAGTATAACTGCACCGACTGTATATGAACTTGGTCTGGAATTCAGCTGTGTGCACTGTATTCTTTCTTGATGTCATAATTGCCGTACATAGTTATGAGAAAATTGGATTTATTAATACATGTATTTTGAATATTTGAACGTAATAATTAGTATTGGAAGCCCTTTATCTTGGATCCTTAAAAGGTGCTCTAACAGTATATTCAAATTGTCATTACCATAATTTTCAATGCTGTAATACAACTGACATGAAAATTGAAATGACATTTGACTTTAAAAAAAAAAATTACTATACTTTTTAAAATAGCAAATGGATCTGCTTATAATATTATAATAAAGACATTTATATAGCAACATGATAATGGATTTTTAATTTATGAAATGTTTTCTTTCAATTCGAAAGGTCGTTATACGAGACTATTTTGACAGCTTGCACAAAGGTAACTGATTGAGTATTCAACATGAATAATAAAACACTACAGTACTTGTGTAAACTGTGTTTTAAACAGAATGTGAGATAAAGATTTCATTCCAAATCAATGAAATTTTATAGCTAAAGAGTGCTAAATACAGGTGATATCAAAGTTCCTGTGCACTGTAAAGATATCAGACTCTGGCAACGCTACTACTGTAGGTACTTAAAAGGAAAAAAATTGTCAATATCTTGTAGTAATTTTCCCACTGTTCCTATAGCTCTTCCGAATTTCGAAAAAAAACATCCACTGACCTACATGTAGTCATCACACTTAATTATGTTTTTTGTGTTCTGCTCTTAACATATATTTTTTGTGAGTTTGAGGTGTGAAGGGGATTATCCTGTAGCTTATATGAGTTCTAGCTAGTCTGTTTTGCCAAATATAGTAGCATCAGCAGTGCACCTAAAGACCAGTTAAACTACTAAATAGTACAATAGGTAACCTTTAAGGGCTCCCCTTATTGTGCATTTCAAACTTTAATTACAGGTATAGTAATGGATGGTAGATGAGTTCTGTAGTTTTGAAGTTCTTTTTATTTACATTCAAAGTATATTGAAAAGAACCTTTCAGACCAGGAATGGAGTTCATTTAACCTGTTCACTGCAGGACACACAATAACTGGAGCTAGCACACTACAGTCCACACAATATACACGACTATCTGATTCACTGCACGCTTCTTACACATTTGTGAAAATATTTTAACCATACACACAATCACTTGTATGATAAAAGTTGAATGGAATGTGGAGGAGCTGACAGGAAGGAGAGTTTTACCTTGGCTAAGTAAACAGGAGATTTGGAACACAATCACAGGATAGATCCTGTAATCTCATCACTGTCTATACCCTGATCTGTACGCTGTTGTATCAGACAAGATTACAGGGTATTAGCCTGGTGTTGGCGGTCCGTCAGTATAGCGTATTAGCCTGGTGTTGGCGGTCAGTACAGCGGTCAGTATAGCATATTAGCCTGGTGTTGGCGGTCAGTGCAGGGTCGTCACCTGTGACCAGTGCTTACTTTGATAAGATAAGGTCATTCTTTGTAACTGACTACTCAATGTGCCCCTCATGGTGTTGTATACACGAGCTATAAGTATACAAATCACATGAATCAGTTTGGGTGGTACACTAGTACTGTGTACCTGGTTAGTACCTATACCTATATATACACCTATTCAATTCATTTGACGTCTCTGTTCACTTCTGGGGTAAACATAAATATTAAATGTTTACAGGTGGCAATGCTTTAAGCTCTGAATGATTACAATCAAATATTTATGTTACCATATTTGACCGAATAGGTGCCCCATCCCTTACAAGTACTCAGGGCCCCCCCTCCTCCCATCCTTGTTTATCGTTGAGGCATCAGCGCATACGTACCTTCATCATAGTTTGCAAACCTACTGAAAAAAACACCTGTCTGACTTTTGTGATTCATGGGAGCCTCTGCAATCATTTTTATTTCCCAAATTACTATATGTCATCCAGGGCACTTAAAAGGTAAAATACAGTACATTAAATACCAGGCCAGGCAGTGCTTATAAGTGGCTTAAATCTTATTCATAGAGCATTGCTTAATTAGTATGGAATATTACTATAAACTGCCTTCATGCTAACCACACACCTCAGGATCAGCAACACTTTAACCAAACATTTTAGGATCACATATAATGATCACACGTACACAATAGGATCACAGTTATTGATCACACATCTTAGAATAACAGACACTGATCATACATCTTAGGATCACATACATGGATCACACATCTTAGGATCAGTGTCTGTGATCCTAAGATGTGTTGTGTGATTAGTGTCTGTGATTATATGTCATGTGATCAATGTCTGTGTTCCTAGTTGAGTGATCAATGTCTGTGTTCCTAAGATGTGTGATCAGTGTCTGAGATACTAAGATGTGTGATCACATTAGGATCACAGTTATTGCTCACACATCTTAGAATAACAGACACTGATCATACATCTTAGGATCACATACATTGATCACACATCTTAGGATCACATACATGGATCACACATCTTAGGAACACAGACATTGATCACACATCTTAGGATCTCAGACACTAATCACACATCTTAGGATCTCAGACACTGATCACACATCTTAGGATCACAGACACTAATCACACATCTTAGGATCTCAGACACTGATCACACATCTTAGGATCACAGACACTAATCACACATCTTAGGATCTCAGACACTGATCACACATCTTAGGATCACAGACACTAATCACACATCTTAGGATCACAGACATTGATCACACATCTTAGGATCACAGACACTAATCACACATCTTAGGATCACAGACATTGATCACACATCTTAGGATCACAGACACTAATCACACATCTTAGGATCACAGACATTGATCACACATCTTAGGATCACAGACACTAATCACACATCTTAGGATCACAGACATTGATCACACATCTTAGGATCACAGACACTAATCACACATCTTAGGATCACAGACATTGATCACACATCTTAGGATCACAGACACTAATCACACATCTTAGGATCACAGACATTGATCACACATCTTAGGATCACAGACACTAATCACACATCTTAGGATCACAGACATTGATCACACATCTTAGGATCACAGACACTAATCACACATCTTAGGATCACAGACATTGATCACACATCTTAGGATCACAGACACTGATCACACATCTTAGGATCACAGACACTGATCACACATCTTAGGATCACAGACACTGATCACACATCTTAGGATCACAGACACTAATCACACATCTTAGGAACACAGACACTGATCACAAATCTTAGGATCTCAGACACTGATCACACATCTTAGGATCACAGACATTGATCACACATCTTTGGATCACAGACATTGATCACACATCTTTGGATCACTGACACTCAATATATGCTACCTTTTTGTGACTTAATATGTATTTAGTGTATATATTACCTTAGTATGACGTTGTATTAAGTGTATATGCTACTTTAGTATGACGTTGTATTAAGTGTGTATGCTACCTTAGTATGACGTTGTATTAAGTGTGTATGCTACCTTAGTATGACGTTGTATTAAGTGTGTATGCTACCTTAGTATGACGTTGTATTAAGTGTGTATGCTACCTTAGTATGACGTTGTATTAAGTGTGTATGCTACCTTAGTATGACGTTGTATTAAGTGTGTATGCTACCTTAGTATGACGTTGTATTAAGTGTGTATGCTACCTTAGTATGACGTTGTATTAAGTGTGTATG